GATTTGCCGAGTCACCTAATTACAGAACAAACAGACCTGATACAAAGAGGCTCTCTAGCCACTGTCATAAAAGCATGAACAAAATAAAAGAAAAACAAACAAAAATCCAAACCCACACCATGTATTTATGTATAAATTGATTTGGGTATCGTGATGAAGCTTACTGGATTCTGAGTGTATACACAACAGTACTGTGGTTAACAAAACCACAATATGCTTCCATTTATTTTTTGCCCCGAAAAATTCTTCGGGGCGAGAGTTTCTACAGTAGACAGATTACGTATCTGAACGTTATGCAGATGGCAGAACTTTCAAATACGGCAAAGCCAAACTGGTGACTTGCTATCCAAAGACATCACTTGAAAAACAACCATATTTCAAGCTAAGCTAAAATGAAAATAAGTATACACATACATACCTGTTTACATATAGAACATAAATGAGAGAGCATGGTACCAGGAATATTTTGTTTCCCAAGACTTTATGGCATTTTAGTCTGTTCATTCACACAGTACTGGTATTCTCAATATAAATGTCAATCTCATTTTAAAAAGAAAGGTCACATTCATGACATTTAAATATATATTTGAAGTTTTAAATAAAATTACTTATCAAGAAAGCATTTCCACACCATTTCTACCAGTAAGAAGTGGTGAAACTGGTTGATTTGAAACTCTGCAACTGTACTTATGCGGGACATAGCAAAAAAATTTTTTAGCAACTGAGTTTCCTGGAAGTAGGATTAGGGTAAGGTTTTTTTGCTGAAAATTTGACTTCTTAGAAGAAGTTCAAACGTGAGTAGGGACACTTACCTGCTCTTCTGAAAAAGTGACCACTGTTTACTGAAGTTACGATTATTGCAGACATCCTTTTAATAAATATCAAAAGTATCTTAGCTTAAGAACGTATAGGTCCTTGACAAAACTCCTGGAGAAGGATAGCAGAACCAAAAGTTTGGGAAATTTTGCGCTATTATTGTATGTATTGAAGGGTGAACACAAACAGAACTGGAAAAGAAGTACATATACCAATCATAGGGAAAAAACTGTTAGCAGTTAGCAGTGAGAATCCTAAACAGGATCTTTTTAGGATGTGTCCACACTCAATTCACAAACCTGCTACTCTGTGCTGATATGGATCACCCAAAACACAAATATCTCTCTTTCAATTGCCTGTTCTCCTAAAACTTTTTGAGGTATAATCCACAACTTATTTGGAAAAAAAAAAACAAAAAACAAAAAAACCACACCCCCACAAACAATTGGGGAATGAATTATTTGTTATGTACTGGAATTCTTTTCTTAGCACTGTGGGAAAGGAAATGATGGAAAGCCACATCATTCATTCTTCTACCAGTCTGCCACAAGTGAATCAATACTTGTGATTTTCAGCCAGAGTCCAGAGATGAAAGTTTACTTGATCAGTGGAATGAGAAACAGCTTGCTAGCTTTTCTGGGAGTGACATCATTTCCAGGACTAGGAAACTGAGGTTCTACTTCCCAAAGATATTTGTCTTTGCAGTTTGCACAGAAGGTCTGACTGCAGCATATATCAACACAAATAAGAAATTTCATTTGGCTTGTGTAGAACCCAACAACAAAATCCTAAGGTGCATGAATTTCAGGCCCTGAGAATACAGACTGCGTTTCAGGAAACCTTACATAATCCACACCAAAGCCCATTCCTACTTTGTCCACCTGCTGTTTACAGCTATGGCAGTGAATATGCAATTCTAAGGTGACTTTGTTGAAAATGGATTTTGACAGAGTTTTTCTTCCTCTAGGAATAGAGATTGTCTGGACTTGTTGGAGGTGCTGGTGCAGGTACAGACAACCTCCATCACTAACTTTTTAGCAAGCGTTCATGAAGTTACTTTGGATTGGGATACACTTAAGACAAAACAATGCTTAGGCTGAAGAAAAGGAGTGACACTACTGGAAGTAAAACTATCACTTCATAACCTAGGACATGCACTATACCGGCAGAAAGAGAAACTAGCTAGAAGAGAGAAGGAAGAAAAAAACAAGTAGGAATCTATGCTACTCTCCTCCATAGAAAGGGAAGAAGTCAAGTAAATATGAACTTAAATGGAAAATTTACAACATAAAGTGGAAAACGACTCTTGGATAGAGAATGCAGCTCTGCTGTCAAAACCTGCTGATGAAGAGAAAAGCTTCAGTACAGAGCTATGATGTGTGAACCAAACAATACTAGAAGGACTTTACATACATAATAAATGGAAATCCCTCATTTAGGCTTTCAAATTTGTAGTTATTTTGTTGAAATCAGAAAAGTTTTGTGTGAAACGCATTATTTCTTCGCTATTGCAAACAGCAATTTCCATTTATTTGTAGGAAAAGAGCAAACCCGTGGCTTTGATGAATACAAGTTTTTAAGAGTTTAATTTTGTATTTCATCAAAAAATTGCAAAAAAAGCATTCCTAGAAAATGAATGTCTTCATCAGTTAGAGAAGAGAGACAAAGAATACAGTACTTGTATGATTTCTACCTCTGCCAGCTTTCAACAACAAGCTGGAAATGATTAATTCCCGAAACATCACCTCTCAATCTGTTTATAGTGGTCTTTAAGACATCAATAAAAATCACAAATACACTGTTGAAATAAACTGTTCACTGGAGTACAATGATGGAAGTGTTTCATCAGATTCACTATTCCTAGAGTCTGTTCAACAGGGATGAAGCGCACAATTGAAAATATCATCCTCTACCACAGAAACAGTTAAGACCTTGACTATAGCTTTGTCTACATTACTGTAGACCACAAACTTACAATATGAGTTTTTCTGTAGCTTGTACTTTTGAGATTAACTTCTTGCAGAGATGTCATTTACCTCTTCTTTACAGCACAAGTACAGGTATCTGACTCTGTGTTTAACTCGCACATTACCAGCTGCTGGCTTTTGTGAAGGCTCACCACTTCTATCCTAATGGAACTAATGGAATTCCTAAAAGTATTAATGAACTAACTTGTACCAGGACCAGAAACCAAACTTAAAAATAAAATCCACATACACATTCCTTACTAAGATATGACCAAAGTGAAAAGGAAGTAAGCTAGCAAAGTTTTTCTTAACAACTGTAGCCCTCTGTAACTGCTGAGAAGTACTATATATTTACAGCCATTATTTTATAAATTCTAAATTATTAGCTAAAGATGATTCTGTATTACCACCTACGGTATGCAGAGAGAGAGAGAGAAAAAGAGAAAAAGAAAGAGAGAGGGAAAGCAAAGCAGTTACGTATATACTACAGCTATATACCTGCTTCAGTCATGACAACACCAACCTATTGATTTTTATATAACGAACTACTAGAAAAATCATGGATGTTGTAAAATAAAACTAAAAAACTTCTACAACTTAAGTTACATGTCTCTCAGCCCAAGATTCCTCTTTAAGCTCGCCTACTCAAAAATTGTAAGTTTTATAAAGCAGATGAAGAGGCTCTAGCCAAAGACATATTGTAATTACAACTACTGATCAATAGACTGACTGGTAATAGATCTATCCACCGCAGAAGATAATGCCAACTAACTGTTTACAAGTTACTGTTATAAATTCTTCTCACTGTACACTGGATTACTAGAAAATTCTTAATTTCCTTTGGAAACAATAGTCCAAACAGCCAGACATTATCAGCAACTCCACTATCTCTCTAGAACCAGACATAAAATTGTCATCAGCATTCATGGTTACTTTTAGATTTGGCCTAAGAGTGCAATATCGTGATGACCCACTCAGAACGGAGCTGCTGAAATCCCCAACTTGACATTATCCTATGGTAATATCTGATAGAGCTCACTATCCAAACACTGAAAACAGGTGTGAACAGACAGGAACATTACAGATGCAGAAGAAAGGTGGAAAACTGTCCGGCTCTGCCACATGATTATTTCTACGCTAGGGTTCCAGAAAGCAGCAAGGGGTACAAATTTCTAATATCTGTCACTCTTGCTCTCAAAAATTGAAAGTAGTACAGGAATATGACATTCCAAATTGATTCGCTACACATAGATAGCTGCTTCAACTGTCCAAAAACAGAGATTCTGCCGAACAAACTCTGGGGATTAGATCATTTCATCATCAAGTAGGCACAGGCATCCCTGTGGAAGTCAACTAAAAGAATTATTAGTCCTCTTAGTTCTTTCACTGTGAATTTTTTGTTTTGACTCTTTCTTGACTATCTCTGCAGCGGGTAACATGCATATGTACACCTCTTTGTATCTTGTTCCACTATCCGTAAAATTTAGAATTTTATTTTTAAACCATATCCTTACACTAAAATGAAATCTTTACAACTCCCATACTAAACTGAAGCCTAAAGGACAGAAAAAATATCCTAGCACTGTAAGCTTTTAAAAAGTTTACATTACTCATCTAACAACGGTGACAAAGAACAACCATTACACAGCCCAGTTTTCTCCCACCTGTGTATTTACCTTCTTGATTAACGATGTCCCAGCTGGAAGCTTTAAACTGTATAGACCAATTCACTAACTACTCACTTCAGTTTTATGCCAGGGTAATAATGAAATTACACAATAAAATCTGAGAGAACAGTAGCAAAGTAAGTCTTAATGTTCAGTTGCCTGTGAACCGTTTTTAAACTTGAAGATGTCTACTCACACCAAAATACACATTAAAAAACGTTAAAACAGCTATCCAAACAATCTTCAAAGCATTCTAATTCATGGACCAGTAGTGTAGATGTAACTTGCAAGATTGTTTTACTTCCTATAACTGACCTCTTTATCATGCATCATGTTTCTCTACCAATTCTAGAACTAACAGATATGAGAAATACCTGAAAAATAGATAACTGAAAAAGATTAACAGTTTTCTAAATTCAAATTTCTCTCCATTGGTAAAAGCTTCTATCTCTTCAGTCAACTTCATAAAACACTGTCAGACTCACATTCCATAGATAAGTTTACTGCTAGCTTTATGGTTAAAAAAAAAAAAAAATTACTTCCTACTTACCTCGATATTGAAGGAATTCTCTTCAATCTTCTCAACCTCTGCTTCTGCCAGAGGATTTTTCAGGGTCTGCAAGAACAGCGCAGCTTTCCTTTTACGTTCTGCTTGTAGTTGCTTTTCTTTTGATTCTTTGGAGGCCTGTGCAAGCTTCTCTCTTGCTGCAGCGGCTAGTCTATCCTCTAGCTTCTGTTTTGCTGAGACACAATTAAACATTAAGTTCACAGTGAATTACAGCTGAGCAACTTAAGTTTCCTTAAAAACACACCTCTCCCCTCAAATCCTCACAAGTCTTTCCATTATGTCCATTTAAAGACATAATAAGGACATATCAGCTTGAAGTTACAAAATTCCAGTCATCTTAATTTGAAGACATATCATTTGTTTGATGATAAGCATTAACCGCTAAATAGTTTACAACAATCATCTGTCATTAACTGAAAGGTCACACTGATATTCACTAGTGAAAGGACAAAAACGTATCCTTAAATATGTGCTTCCTGCTCACTTAGCACAAGCACAACAAATAAAAACAGGTGTTTTATCTCACGAAAATTTCAAATACCGCATGTTGAACCAAATGCATTGTGCAATAGTTATCTTCTCTCCAGAAGATATGAGAAAATTTTAAGGCATGACAACAGTAATCTCAGTTCTACATCTACATTTTGACATCATTAGCTATATAATGGTCTAGCCATTGTTCTCACTATTTTCAACTGAATGCAGTAATACTTCAAATATTCATATATTTAACAAAATCTGAATCAGTCCCTTCAAGAAAGATAGGGTTTTACAGTAATGCATAAATCCCCAAAAGTTTAACCCCCAAACAAATTGCAAGCAGTAAACGTCATTCCCGGATTTAAACTTTGATTTCTTAATGTTGGCAATTCCATAAAAAAAAACTCCCCATATAGCATATGTAGGACTTAACAGTCTCCCTGAATGCATCAAAATGGAAGAACTATAAATGGAGTAAAAAAGTTTCATCATCATCAGCTGAAGTTAAGATGGGAATGTGATTGCAGAAAAGGGAACACAATTACTATTTATAGCTTGCGAAACAAGTTCTGATGTACAATAACATTATTGTTTAGATTTACATTGAAAAAATTTATTTGGAAAATTATTAGTTTCTAAATAAAAATATGTACTAGTGATCTTTTTATGTACATAAAAGCAAATGTGTTTCCTTAATCGCTCTTCAACATTCATGGATAAGTGATCCTTCACTGCATTATTATTTTTAAATAACAACAAAAGAAAAAGCCTTAATTTTGAATGCACAAACTTAGTTGTTTGATCATTCTCATGTTAACAGATATATATATTTCTTTTTTAATTGATACGTTTATCTGAGAGTTTTTAAAAGTCTCTTCATTCACAAATTCTAACTAAATTTTTATCCAGGAACTTTTTGGAAAGATAAACAAAATTCATTCTGGTAAGTCCTTAATATCCATGAGAAATAAATATAGCTTCTGAAATTCTGATTAAGAGTAATACATTTCAGTTAAAATGTACCTTCCCTAGAGATACTGATCTATAGTACACATAGTGATGTAAGATAAACGGATATACGATTTAGAATAGGTTAAGAAAATTTTATACATAGAAAGATACTAAAATGCATTTTAAATATCATGCTATGTAAAAATAAACAAACTTTCACAGAAAATATACTTTCACAGATGTGCCATTGCATCAGAAACCACCGAAACTAGCTTGCTGACATAGAGCAACTTCTCCCCCCAGATTATATCTAACCTCCTGAAACTGAAAAATGCAGGATACTTATCCTTTTCCATAGTATTTATGAAAGCTATATAAGAAAGTAGCAGCGTAAATTCAGCAACTTTTTCCTCGTGCTCCTCAAAACAGGAAGCAATGTCAACTCTCCATTTTGCTCTTTTCACAGCTCTGATTCTTACCTCGTTTTCCAGTCCTCTGGAAAACGCGTCAAAGTGTTTACACAAAGAGCTGCTCTAGATAATCTTCAGAAAGTGTTTCACTATTGTTTCAAGCAACATTTACTATTATATGACTACAGAAAGAAAATAAACCAATTTACCTATGCATCTAACAGAAATTGTCTAACCTTTTTCATCTTCCGTTTCTAGTTTTGTGTTCTGAGCACAAACAAGATGACCTTTTTTGTTGAATTACACTTTTTGCCCCCATACAACTTTTTCCAAATACATCTTGAACTTCATTTTTATTATATTCAATATTTCCTATGTGCATTAGATGTGTGCACTACAGCACACACTGCACTACAAAGTTTAAAATGGAAATGCTATTCAGGAACAAAAAACCCCCTAAGATTTGAAGATGAAAAATTACAATTATGAATACACCACAGAAATATAAGAGTAATATTAAGTTTTTAAGCTGGTAAACACAGACAGCATCTTCACTTTAATAAACAATGTCTACTGTGAAACAGCCTTGGGGATGAAGGGGGGGAAGGAAATTCCAACCTTTCAAAGGGAAACTTCATTCAAACTCACACAGCATACCCCCTTCTGCCCTTCCATGCATAAACACAGTAACAGAAAAAACCATATAAAGACTTAGAAGTATTGTATTATACCAGGAATGAAACATAAAAAAGTTGATGTTAGTGCATGTAGGCAGGCTCTATAGCTGAAAAATAGCTTGAAGCATTTCATTGTTCTGTGAAGGAAAGCAAGAAATGGACATGCCTTTTTCCAGACTGAGTTAATGCAACCTGGAAACCAGAAGTCTAGTGTTTTACTTAGAAGCTGTAATCAAAACAAGGATATCAGAAAGACCAAACATTATGGCAAAGTACTCAAATCCAGTTTGATTTTAGCTGAGCAAATAACGAAAAATTCATTCTTAAAAATAAGCAGGAAATGCTGGGGAGGGGGGGAGCTGTTTCCTCTAAAAATGAGGTAGTGAAGATTCAAAATACTTTGTGCAACAATTTTGTAGTTTGCCTGAAGGACTCAATCTTTCATTTTGTTTTCAATGTAACATTGGATACCTTGTTTAGCTTCTAACTCCTCCTGCGTAAGTTGAGGTTTTTTCTCTTCAGCAGCAGTACAAGGAGTGGTAACAGCTGGAGTATGGTTTGAAGCAGTATTAGTGTTCTCCTGGCCTTCCTTGCCCTCTTCTTCCTCCTCATCACTGTCATCATCTAATTTAACACGGTTTTTCTCCAAGGGAAGAAGGTCATTTTCTTTGGCCTTGATTGCAAAGCTTATTGGAGCAAACGATGCTGTGAATGAACAGGTAAGATTTTACAGATCATTAGATAAGAGTAGAAAGCAGGTTGAATTTTTTGACTTTATCCATTACTCACGAAGACTACACCATGAAAAGATAAGAAAACAAATAAACAAAACTGAGTCATCTTAACATTATGCAAATAGAAAAGGACATGACTAAAATAGTTTTTTCTTGACAATAAATGTTCAAGATTTCACTTGCCCCATAATACTCTGTTTCAAAGTCTTTTTTAATACTTCAGTAGGAACAGGACAAAAGGTACTCTAAACCATCTCAGGAATTACACTTACTCATGCAAGTTAAAAAGAAACAATTTAATATTCTGTCCTAAATAAATTTTGTTTGTCTAATAATTTTTTTATTTCCTCAAATGCGTAATCTACTCCTCCAGATCTAGGATTTAAAAAAACACATGTTCTAGAGAAACAATATGACATTTACCATATATGAGCTTCTGGACTCATGTCTGTGGCAACTTACCTTGTGTATGCATGGATATGTAAATATTGGGATCTATTTTCTGTCACTTTCTTTTGTAAACAGCAGTGGCATGATTAAATTGATCAGAAAACCCCAACTGCACAATCTCCTAATTTTTTGGGGTCAATCTCCTATGAAATTTTCATCGTGTAATTAAGTTAGATACATAAGCCCTTGATTAAACCAAAGTATTAGATGGGAAGATAAAAAAGGAATGCTGGCCACAAATTTAAAGCTTTTACATTTTTGATGCAAGTCCTTTTTTAGAGCCAACCCTATGGTTGTTAAAATATTTCTTCCATTTACTCAAAATTAGTTAAGGTTCCCCCCTCCACGCATAAGAATTGATCTTTGGATTAAAGCATGAAACCAGAAACGCTCCCGTCTAGGACAAAATATTTCATAAAGCTGTGAGAGGCAGAAAATAGTTGAAAATAATTTTGCATACTTTATTGTATCACACATTGACATTACCTCTACACATAACTTTTATAATAGACCTTAATATACATCTCTCCTCACATTAAATAATGCCTTAAGAAATTCTGTATTTTTATGGAAATCCAAAATCTCCGGCCAAACAAGAGAACCCTAGAAAAAATTTCAGTATTTCCTCTCCACGTTTAATTCTTTCTTGTTGAAAATATTTTCCCAGTTTCTCCTCACTGAGCACTCTGTCAAGGCTGCTTTCTGAGACACTGTGTTGGATACGCTTGCCTATGTTTCCTTCACACTACATCTGATGGTTTGCAAAATGATAGCATTTGTCAGGCTCACACAGCAGTACTTAAAGACTTATTTCCATCTATACGAAAATTAATTACTTTGGGGAATTAACAGCATTTCATTAAAGGAGAACTAAATACCAAAGCTAAGAAGTTATCCTCAAATACAACTATTTCTTAGCTAGTCTCGCTGGGGCAAGATTGTTGGTCAACTATTTCTTTTAAGCAACCACCGTTCCCCCACCCCAAACAAACACACACAACACGCTCACCCCAACACACTCAAAGTGAAGAAGAATGCCTGCATATAGACAATAGAACACCACAGTAAAAAGCAAATTGCGGATCATTTCAAGCTAGGGGTTTTACCAGTGGATCTTTCAAAAATAATAAGCATAGCTATAGGTTACTACATTTAAGTCTGAACCTTCTCCTTCAAAGAAATTTCCTTGGAATAATTTTGAAAAGCAGTTTCTGGAAAATATGGAATTAATTCGTTAACTGTTTATCCAAATGCAACTTTAAGAACAAGGGGCTGAACTTCTCACACATCTCAAGGAAAAACAAATCAACTGCTATATCGTCTGCTGCAGTATTTCTTCTCAGAAAGCCTTTTGCCTATATATCCTCTAAGCTTTCAGTTTGGGAAATTTAAATGCAATAATTAATTCACATGCCAAGGTTTATGAAAAATGGGCTTTGCATCTTGCAATTCTGTGGTTAGAAAATAGGCTCAGAGATAAGTAAGAACCCAAGAATTACAAGATAACAAATAACAACAGTGATTTTCCAACTTTTTCATATTGCCAAACAAATCCTAAAACGAGATTTTTAGCCTTCAGAGGCAGAAGAAACAAATCTGGTACAGATGTTGTGTCTGTCTTACAGCCAATTGCTGCATTTTGGTTACAAAAAAACTGGGATTTGTACCATATTAGAAAGAGGAAATGAAAATAAATTTAAAGGAATAGGGCTGACATGAAACAACTAAACAACTCTTTGGTTACATTCCATAATCTATATGTCAGCTGCTTTTTTTTTTTTTAAATTAAAAAAATAATTAAAAAAAAGAGAAAAAAAGAAAAGAAAAAACACTCTGGGTTTCCATTTATTAGTAACCTTAACAATAAATATTATTGCATTTCCATTTTCTGTTATATGTCACATTCTCTTAAAAGGGAATCTTTGAAGACAGGGGAGATTGCCCCTTCCCTGGCAAAGCTACTCAACCTGCCCAGAAAAGAAACAGCAGAGTATGGACAGCAAAAAAAACATGGGAAAGTCTGGAGCCCACAGCCCAGAGAAAGAAAGGGCAGCGAGGAGCAGGGAGAAACAAAAAGAACTTCTCACAGATCACAGGGAACAGGCAAACTTTTCAGCAATTAAGAAAGCCACTGAACTGGCTGGAAGGCAGTAACCACCCATGGGAACGCAGGGCAAGAGTTAGAATTTTCCCTGTTTTGATTTTTTTAATTGCTTTTAGGTATACTTAAAAGATTTAAGTCTCTATTTTTTACTGAATAAAGGAAAATTAATGATATATTTCCTGACAGACCAGGAAATCAGCTCTGGAATATAAATAATATTTTCTCAAATTCAGGACACTAACAGTGCGTTAGCTGATTTGTTTGACTGGATTCTAAGGGATCCTCTCACTTGGTCCCTCTGCTGCTAAGACTGCAAGAGGAAAAACATTCTACTTAAGAGAAGGATCTTTTTTCCAGCCTGCCTAACTTCCAGCATGGGAAGATGGAGAAACTAAGGAATATACCTAGCCTACTTCCTCCATATGCGCAGTTTCAGTAAGACTACAGCCTTTATTCAGAAGAAGTATCTCCTTTCTTGTAGGGAGCTTGTAACAATCAAGTTATAAATGGCTTACTGACAAAAGTAAAATTACATTAAGGCCAAAAAAAAAAAATCTGCATAAAACTGAAATAGAACAATGATTCTCTCAGACAGTGAACACCTGATATGATCTGATAGGAAAATAAGACATACGAAAGCAATCAAATTATTTCTTTCAGTCCTTTTTTGATGCTTCTCTTGAAAATATTTCCTCTACAGGCTGCAATTCCTTTCCCAATTTTTTTTATTTTTAAAGTATATTCCAACAAATATTTTAGCATCCAACAAATCACGCCAACGTACCTTTCACCAATTTACCATCACTGACAGTTTTAGGAGGAGGAACATCTTTTTTAGTTCCTGGAAGTCCCTTAGCATTTAGATCAGAAGCATCTTCAGGTGTATGTTCATCTGCAAATTGAGTCTCACTTGGTGTATCACAGGCAGTATCTGTTGGAACATCTTCAGATGAAGATACTCCCTTTTCAAATAGAAAAGTGCAAGGTTACGAACTAGGTAATTCAGAACAGAATTGCTGCAGTAGCTGCACAGCTGCAATCCTTCCAGCTGTTTCAAAAAATCACATTATCAACAGCTAACTGTATATCAGTAATCTATTCTATTCTATGTTCCATGTAAACCCAGAGGTTACACAGAGAACTGCAATAAGAATGTGTTGTGATTTTAAATGAAAGAAAACGTTCTTCCAGTGGTTTGCTTCTGCCAACAACTGTTTTAAAAAACATTTTTAAAGTTAGGGCCAAAAAGTATATCCAAGGTCTACTCTTCTAGTCTTGATCCATTAAAGTTGATTCACAGTGGAAGAATGAAAGCTCACAACATTTTTGCTAATACACTATTGCATAATACTTTCTTTACAAATACAAGTTATTACAGCAACAAACACACGTTGAAGTGTTTGATTTGTTCCAGCCTTCTGCTGGAGAAGCAATGGACCCACTGATGGCTTTTGTGGCACTAAGCTGACAACGCAGATGTTTGGGGATTTTCAAATAGGATACTGGAAGCAAAGATTATTGGTTCGACTATTACATGACTGTATCATTCTAGGTGAGCTATAAACTCGTACTACAAAAATATTAAAATGTATACTGTAGAACATTTAAAACATTTAAAAGGTGATTCAGAGTATCATATTAAATAACGTAATATTTAAATGAGCCTCTCAATAAATTGTTTGGTTACTTCCAACTGACTGCTAAGGATACTGAATGTTGGTATTGAAGAAATTCTTTCACTGCTCCCTGCAGCTGTTCCCTGACCAACAGAGGTAATTTCTGAAAACCTTCAGAGAGGAAAAACACAAAGGAATTTAGGGCTTCAGCCTAAATTTACTGAAGCCAAAAAGTACAATTTCCTATTAATTTTAATGGCCAAATGGAGAGCAATCAAATTGCAGTAGTTGCCTGCACTCACATTATTAAAGTACAAAAGTAACATTGAAAACATTCTAAAAAGATAAAATAAGATAAAAGAGAATGGTATTATCTACAAAAACCATGCAGTAGGAAAACAAGCATTGCTACTATACAAGACCTCAAGGGACTTAAACTAGTTTCTGCTCCCTGCTTAGCTATACTCATTTGAGCACTTAAAAGAAATCCTTTATTATAACATTTCGGTTTGTGTACATTTTTCCCCAGAAAACAAAAGTTAACAAGTCCTTATTAATTATGTAACTATTATGCATTCAAGCCCACTGATTTGCAAATAAAAAATTCTAGTATAATAGTCAGCATTGTGGTAAAGGACAATTTTGCACGTAAAATGCCAACTGAACAATCGGACTATCGTATTTACCACAATTTGTCTTTAAAAATAGTGTTTTCAAAACATTTTTCATTAAGATCAAGTATTAGACACAAGCGTCTCAAATAGTAACTAATAGTGAATTGTTTCATTTTCCCGGAAGCTATTTTGAGGAGTTACACTGCAATAAGTCAGGTCTGTTGGTAAACTAATTATTTTTGAGCCTCCAATCTAAGCCTTGAGACGACAAATGACCTAAAGCCTAAAGAGAAAACAGCTTTTCCCCATGAAAAGTTAAGATCATCCAGATGAAGCATTTCTGATGCTATATGTAATTTTCAGTAAGAGGAAAAAACGTACTCTAGTGCTACTAGATAATGTGAGAATGGTTAAAAACAAGGATGCAAAGTCTGGATATCATCTTCTAATAACCTGGACTAGAAGAAGTGAAGCAAGTAGGAAACTGAAATGAGATTCTGGAACTCCAATATTGCTTCAGTTAGCCATGCCAGGACTCCTCCCTAACAAAACTCCTCCCTTCCTCAGAAAAGGCATGTCAGAAAAGTAGTTTAGCTACTATTTTATGAAGAACCATGAGGCATATGAGAAGATAGGACCGTCAAAAAGCTGCACCTAGCCTTTCCAAGAACAGAACCCTAATCCTAGAAAGCTCTAGGCCTCCTCAAGGCACATATTCCCTTGTGTAGAACGTCAAAAGATTCTCTGGTTGCCATTTTATATTGTAACCACAAGGTTACAATAGCCCAAACAAATGCAAAACAAAATCTAAAAACAACAAAAAAAGCAATCAAGCCATGAATGTCTTATATAAAAGAGAGTTCAATTCTTAAAAAGTGTCATGGTTATATGCCAGAAAAACAAGTCCTTTCTCCATTTATCATACATTTTTAATGTATCTATATACAAACATTTGTGTACCTGAGAGTTGTCATGGCTCTCTTTTTGAAGGAAGAACTGTTTTTTAAATTCATAATAAGCATTATATTGGTGCCATGGCTGCAGAAACTCAAATCTGTTAAGAGAAAACTGAATTTGTGAAGAAGCACATGAATACAGTAAGTACAAACCATCATTTACCATCTAACCATCTCCTGCAGAGGGAATGCTATTTAATGTTTGGATGTAATGCTTAACATACATTCATAGCATAGTTTCTAGAAACATTTCGTTTCATTGACTGCTTTCAGGATTTGGGCAATAATGCTTTATCATTACCTTTAGGTAGGTCCTCAAATCTCCCTCTTCCCCGCAAAAGTAAGATAGGGCATGTAAATCTCAAAACGGGGTGTACTGAAAACATATTTAAAAGTGAAACCTTGAACTACTACCAATTATTAAAACGAAAGTTAAAATAACACTTTCTCTTACCTAAGATCATTCTTGGCACGAACACTAGTTTCAAATTTTATTCCGTTCCTAGCAACATACTCGGCTAGCTTGTCAATAACAGGCTGGATATCTGGGGGTGGAGGTATAATGGCAACCACTGGAGCAATTGTGCTGAAAACATCAGAGGTACATCATTTTTATAAAGAGAATATAAATATCTTTCAGACTCTTGTTTTAACAAGTAAACATTATATAGAGGTTTGCTCTCTGGGCTCGTTATGCAGTTAAAGCAACTCCTGATTTTCCATCAAGTAAAAAGTTCATAATAGCTCAGTAACAATAACCATACATAACATCAGAGACCAAAGTGGAACCAGGTGATCAAAACAGTACACACGCTAGAGAACATTATTAAGGAATCTGCACAATAAAACTGTTACTAAGCACTTCATATCGCAGTGCGGGAGAGTCCCCTTCACCAAAGCAGCATATCTACATAATTACATGTGGTACCTTGTAGAAGTGGTGGTAGTAGTCAACCCACTGCTGCTATCAGTTGTGTCTGGGGGAGGTGGAGGTGTAGTGCCAGGGGGTGGAGGCACTGTTGCTACCCCTGTAGTGCTTGATACAGTCACCCCTGCAGGCAACGCATTGTAGTAGGTGGCAACATCTATTCCTGGCGGTGGAGGTGCGAGGCAATAGGTTCCATCAGGTAGCATGTAGTAACTGTAATACATGGCTGCCACAGTTGCTATAAAGACATATTTAAAATTAGTATTTTAATTGGAAGAAAAAAACACCCAATAAAAAAAAATTATTGCATCAGTACAAAAACATCTAGAATCTAGATTCACACATCACATTAAAAAACATTATCCATATTTTCTTGTGTTGAAAAGAAAAACGTTCATATTAATGCACTGAGAATGAGTAACAAATACAAAGGACAGAATCAGTACTTATTGAGGGTCATACCAAATAGGTATGAATAAAGAAGTGAACCAGAGAAGGCCTACAAAAGACAATGTCATATGAAATCATTCTTCCTAAACTAATTCCCCTCAGGCATTTTAGCTCAATTAAAATTGCGGATGCATTAAGACAGACATGCCCACAGATTCAAAACTAACTTTGAGAAATTAAACCACTAGCTACTAGTATCACTAGTGATTTAATTAAAGCAATAGTATCGCTATTAGAACAAAATTGTTTGTCAAAATAGAAAATTACAATAAATATATATTTAGCTCTAAGTTCTGGTTTACTAATAGTCTTTGCTACTGCCACCGATCAAAATAAAAGCAATGGTTTCACATAAAGCTAGTAAAAGTCTACTTTGAACATTCAAGCAATTCTTGTCTTAACTGGTAAACACATTTGCATTACAAGCTTTGGGATCAGAGCTGTGTCGGTTGTATATCCAGTCACATAAACAGTATATCGAGTTAAACAGAAATTAAACTATGTAGTCTATTAACTCTGAAGCTACGCACTCATTTACAAATGTAGAAACTTAAAAGCTTAGAGGTGATTCTCTTTTGTTATAACAGAAAACGTTAAATTATACTACCTCTGCAGTAGTTACAATTATAGTTTGGCTGATCTAGTTGGAAAACGTGTAATTCACATATGCTGCAGTCATAACAAACTTATGAATACTTCATACACAAAAATAACAAAAAAACCTACACAAACTCACAGTGACCAACATTTTATTCCATTCATGATCTTTTTGTACGAACTCTTCATTGATGAAATAGCTGAACGTGTCACTGGTATTTGTTATGAACAGAACAGAATTTACTTTTAAAAATAACCTTATTAGATGGTCTTAATCTATTTTATTGGCAGTGAATTTTTCCTCTACATTTGATGGGTCAAACTTTGAATTTCAGACTTGTGGCCACTTAAGTTCATCTTAAACTTTTGTCCAAGCAGATGGTCAGATGGCACATATTTTCACAAGAATGGCCCAGAGTCAAGAGTGACTCGGTGAGTGAATGAGTGACGGCACAAACCTCATTAAAAAGGAGAAGAAAAAGAGACTACCTACATTTACCTCAGGTAAACAATTTATATTATCCAATCCCCAACCAAAAGAACTACTTCCAGCTAAACATGACTAAAGCGCATTTAACGTATTACTTTGCATTAACTCATACTGTATCTGAGCAAAAAGAAAAAGGATGTTTTGTATCTTAAATGCACCAAATGATATTAAATCATCATTCAGAAGCTGCATATCAGTAGATGAGCAAAAGGTAAATACATTGCTATTAGGTTAAGAATCTTTGAGCTAAGGAACCAGAGAACAATCCACTATTACTGGCTGTTAATAGCTTCCATCTACTAGACCAGCTCAATAATTTAATCATTACATATATGTCTATGACTTGAAGGAAAATACACTAATAAGGGAAACTGAGCAAAACCCTGGTAAATAACAAAGAATCCTTTCGGTGGAGTGCTGTCTAAAACAGGTCTACGCTAATGCACAAATAATGAAAGGACATGCGTTGCTCCCCCCATCATCTGTTTCAACACGCACAAGCATTGCCAATACATTCCATTCAACATCCCAGTCTAGAGATAATTATCATCAAGGGAGGGAAAAAGCTTCAGGGTATGTCCGACTGATACTAGCATAACATAACAGCCACCTAAAGAAAAACAATCCGGGAAAGATTAGCACACCTAACTCAAACTAGTGACCAAAGTTACTTGGAAAATCTCACCACGTGAAGCTGAACACAGAAGTGTCAGGACTGAAAAAAAACAGGCAGTTTTTAGGCAAAGAAAGATGGAGATTAACAACCTTCGTAACTGCAGTCAATGCAATAACGTATCTCATTTCTATATATAAACTTGCTTTAAGATTAAAGCTGCTTGCTTCAGTAACGTGCCATTGCAGTTAGTACCATAATTTTGTATTTCAGAGTACTACATTTAACTTTGATGCTTTTTAATTTTATCTGGTGCCCTTTTTAGTCTTCCATGATGGACACACACAACTCACTGAAGCACTTCATGATTAGCTATTTGTTTTATCCTCTCCAACGCTGCTTCTAACTTTAAGCACATCTCACTCTACCAAGGCTTCTGGCAGAGACAACTTAATCACTTTCAGATCTTACGATGGATAATCTATTCTGTAGTAACAGAAAAACAGCTATTTCAAAAGAAAAGGTTGATAAAACATACTGCTAGTAAAAACTTGCCACTAAAACCTGCTAATTTTGTGTGCTTCTTAAAAATGCATGGAAGAATCTCCTATTTAAACTGCATTAGTTTAGATGAATTATCAAGAGTTCCAAAAAAAACACATGCAAGTGCAAGTTATATTTAGCCATATTAGCTTTACCACCTTACATTACATCACAGAAATACTACAAGAACATTCTTTTTAAACATGGGAAAGAGTTTACTCCTCTCAGAAAAGCCTGAGGCTGAAGATTAACTGTCCTAATACACATTTAAAAGCAGCATTTTTCAGGCAAATATCTTAAGAGTTTAAAATCGAAGGAAATTATCTCCAGGATGATTTTAGGATAGAGAAATAATAACGATTTGCATGTCTCAAATTAGATCCTTTTAGCAAAATCAACACTCATCTCATTGAACTTTGCACCAAAGCTGGACAGTATCAAAAAATACATGCCATTTATATATACTAGATAATATATACCTACTTATTGAAACCACAAAAAACAGATAGGTTTTGCAATTTAACACTAAAACAATGAACAATTGAATCGATTAAGTTTTCCACGCTAGAGGTTTGTCAGACTCTAAATGTGCATTTGTATAGAGTGCAAACGGTTATGGATCTCCCCCTCGCCCCGAAATTAAAAAACAGTAATTCAATAAGAGTGTAGTTAGCCTAACACTTGTACAGTTATTCTTGTAATTCTAAAGACTTTCCACAGAAGGGTACATAAATAGAAAGTTTTCAGGTAAAATTATTTCAAGGGATTTAGAGTAACAGTCTATGCCTCTGGAGGGAAAGTTTAACCAATGCATCAAAGTATAATTATATTATCCTCTTAAAGTGAGTTTCATAAGCAATCCTGTACGGCAATATTGATTTTACTCAGAGAACAAGTTGTCTGTAAGGAGAGCAGAATAAAGATCTGTCGAGTTATAAAGGCAAGAAGAGGAGCTACAAACTTAACTTGTAAAGTGGAAGATTATCATCATTTAATAGCAATGCATCATATGCACTCAGATCCAAGGCTAAGATGAAAGTAATCAGAAAACTGAGGAGCATTACTCTACAGTGATGCTAACTCTAGGTTTAGTCTTTCTTGAAATATCCAGTAATTTTCCATCCCACAACAGAGCAAGCTCTTATTTCAGTTTTAATAAGATTCTCTTAAGGTTCAGTCTAAAATAAAAATCATTTACTTGTATTAAGAAATATATTTGAAAAACACTGGCAATCATTTGGGGTGGGAGGGTAAAATTACAACCCATCATAATCAACTTGGATCTCCAAAGTGAGTCAAATTTTTTTGCAACAAGACTACTAGAACAATTCAAAACGTGGTGCATCAACACTACTTTGGAGTAAGAGTACTTGTTACCTACACATTGATAGTATCATAAAACCCTTCTGGACTGAAGGCAGCAATATACGTTTTCTTATACCTCAATAGTCTCACATGGCAAGAGTAAGGAGAAAGGAGAAAGTCTTGGAATATTAGGCACAGGGAAAAAAAATTGAGCGCACAACTTTCTACACTGCTTTCTAATAATTTAGTTAATTGCTTTCACCTTTTTCTTTTAAAAAAGTAAGAACATCTGCTTCTTTATTAAATAAAGAATAGCCTCAGTGGCCATGGAACTTGAGAGCTAGCCCTCCAGCTCAGACATTGTAATGAGAAATACAGTTTAAAGATCAATTTTTAAACTTTGAATTTTGTGTTTTCCTAAATTTTATTTTCCATGTGTAACATTGTACCAGTGCACAGAATAAAAGAAAGGTGAAATCATGAAAAAGTATATGAATTGACATATAATAATAGACTTAAATATTTTTTCACTTTAAAATTACTGCCAACATTAGAACAGATTATCATACTAAAACCTGGATTTATCACCTAAATCAATATACATAACAATATCTTTGCAGAGTTTTTGTAGTGTAAGACAGTCCACCAAAACTGTTCAAAACAGATTTACTATATTTTTTTTTGCTTAATATAGCAAGCTTTTTTCAATGGGACTCATGAATTATAGGACAGCTTTATATTCACCACTGAAGATATTTCATAATCTCAGTGCAGTTCTTCAGAAGATATGACTGAATTAGTTTATCCCACTTGCTTATTACTACTTGCAGAAAAGAGCAGTAATGAGATCTCACTAAAGCAACGATTTTACTATTATGAAAAAAAACTGCTCACTGTACTTACAGCTTGTCATGGATATAATCCTTGACAAAAGGATTATAGTTCAGATTAGGTGCATTCCAAATCATTCAACACTTAAGTTTAAACATAATGTTTTACTAAAGAAAGGAAAGATCTAAAATCTGATCTTTAAGTCTGAGTCATAGATGATAGTATTAGATAATGAAATCACATGATCATCAGTTAACATAAAATATGCTTTTGAGTTGTATCAAAAGATGTAAACTCACAGATTTTGCTCTGCAATTTTTCCCCTTAAGAGATTTTACAACTGTAACGCCCTGAACACTAAAGCTACTTACAACAAATCAGTTACAGGATATAAATGCATGGGGAAACATTTCAAAAAGTAAACAGTACTTTTTATTCTCTCATCATCTTATTAACAGAGAAAAGGAATGAAAATTATTATTTAGTATTTAGTGTAATGTACAGTTCTAAAATGTCATTTGATTAAATATCTATTAGCACCAGACACAAAATGTCACAACTATAGAAAGAGATTATGAAAAGATCAAGAAACTTCCAAAAAATTATTACAGACTATTGCGCTTGGGCTCCCGGCCTCTTAGAAAAAAGCTGCAAAATTGTGTTGGGGATTGGAATAGACTCTTGTTTCGGAGGAATCATCACCTTTCTTACACGTTTCTGTTGTATTAGGCTTCATTAACAACAACGGATTGAAGCTCATCAAAAACACTAAGAATCCTGTTCTAACCACATTCACATACTGAAGACTTGGCTGCCACTCCCAGTTTTTGTTTTTCTAAGCAACTAACAAAGTGACAGATATTTAGTGGATGAAAACACCTTCAAACATTCAGGAAGTTGAAACAGAATAAATATCAGTTCTGAATGAACAAATACGAAGCTAACGCATTTTCTTCCCATCGGCATCCATGCACAATTCAACAAGACAAACTACCAGCTGCCTAATCACAAAACACTTACAATCAGAAGAATATTCTACTTGTGATGTCTGTACAGCTGCCCCTTCTGTTGACTGTGGTGTAGATGTGTTATTATCTGATTGTGCTTTGCGGACCAGTGCTGCAAGTGGATGATCAGGGTCTACTACCTTCAAAGGCTGCAAGAACCACAAAAACAGAAAAGAGATTAAAACTCAAAGTGTATATCTAAAACAAAATAATATAAATCTAATTTTGGAAGGCAAATCTATCTAAATTCATACACATCAATAATACTATCCGTGCACCAAAGTTCTTGTTTTTGTAGCTTTCTCTCTCATATCAGTATCAACTTGATTCTTTCTCACAAATTTCTCTGAAAAAGGGGCCAAAAACCAAAAAACCACTGATTTGATGTGAACATAAATCCATGACAAGAAAAAAAGTATATATTACTCTCATCAGTTTACCGAAGTTGTGATCAAATACAGAACTTGATTCGTCTAAGTGTTAGACAGTGTCACTGTCATTACTCTGAAAGCCTCAAACGTGAACAACCATCTATCGTTCCCATTTTTCTACTATTGAGCAAGGTCAGAAAACAAAAACATCTTTAACATATCAAGTAAAATTTAGACTTAATGAGTGTCAGTAATTTTGCTGAAATATTATTGACTGAAACCATTATTTGAGGTCAAGATTCTATCTACTAACATCTAGGAAGAAAACACTCTATCTCAGCTAATATATGAATGGCATTAACTGTCTTAAAACCTTTAGCTTCAGTACAGTTTGTGGGATAAATCCTTGACTGATACGCTGCCCTCAATACCAGAACATGTCAAAAACAGAAACATAATGGCTTAAGAATGGAAAAATAACAATGTATGTACTGGGAAAAGGTAAGTTGGAAGTTTACTAAAATATATTTACACTTCCAAGCAACAGCCCGAAAAATAAAATCTTTGTTAATAAAACATCGTAACTCCTGCATATTATAATTTGTGTGCCCTGTAAAAAGACATTTTACGAGGTAGAAAGTCATTTTAATAGGGCTGAGTACCTTCACGAGCTCTTCAAGTCTACTGCACTTTTTAGACGCAAAGAGACTTGGATGCAGATAGTTTCCATCATCATCGTCGTCGTCATCATCATCTTCCTCGGATTTGACTCTTGAATCTAAATAAAAGCAATGTCTGAATTTTATCTGAGTTTTATATGGATACGTATGGGGTAGGAAGACATGGATATGTTCTTCCTTTAAAAAACTATGGCTTTCATAAATTTACTTATTCACAAATAGTGACAGATACAAGAAGACATTGCTAACCATCAATAAAACTAAAATGTAAGTACACAGACAAACTTTCCATTGGTCTAGGGTGTTTCTAAAAGCTCCAAGATCATAGCAGCTTTTATATCTGAAAGTCTCCCCAAAATATTTTCTTTAATATAAATGTTTCTCTATTTAAGCAAATTTTGCTCTTATTTTGAATCACCATATCAATCTCATTTGCAGGACGAGAGTATTGCCCTTCCAATATGTCAAAAAGATGTGGCTTTTTTACCAAATAACATCAACGGACATTTCAACAACTCACATCCTAAAGCCAGCCATCTGACATGCAATTACTTACGTTTTTTCTCTTCTGTTTTATTTTCAGAAGGAGCAGCATATCGTCCCTCTTTCATAGCTTTCTGAATGAATTTGTAGTAGGGATTGAGGTAGTGATCAAACCGCAAGAAGTCAAACTGGGAGTTGCGTGCTTGCTTGGCTTTTAGCATAATCTCAAACTGTGCTCCCTGCTTACAAACAAAGTTTGCAGTTCGTTCTATAATTGCATGCATTTTTGCTGTTGGCGGCTGTGGGAGAAAAATAACACATATTTATATTTTCACAAGCAGCCTGTGAAGTCTGCTGGAACTCCAGAGAGAATTAGAAACAGCATCAGTTCCCTGCCCCATTTTAGTTTTCTTTAGCATTGTAGTTTCATAATCACTTTCAGCTGGTAGAAGAGAACCATCACTGAGAAAAGTTAGTTCATCCTTCCCCAGCTGGTCATTCCTCTTTGCAAGAGCCTCTCCTTGTACTAGCACAAGTACTTTTGCCATTGCACACCAAACTCAACTGGCAAACAAATCTAGATTCGAGATCAGGGCATTAAAGAAATTCTTTTAAGTCAGGTATATTCCATAGCCATTACAACATTTCTCCTGTCACCAGACAGGAGACCAATGTGTTTCTTCATGCAGCAGTGCCAATTTCAAGCGGCTCTATTTTAAAATAACTCAATGTGCTCTGAAGACTCACCATGCAATTTTTTCTTCTCAACAGCTGTTCTCTATACTGTTATCACTAAACAGGTGAATATTGTTCCCTTACTAGAAAAGCATTTTCTTGGAGAGGACATGTTGCTTATCAAGATCAACATAACAATTGCAATTCCTATGTGCTGTCACATTCTCACAGAGTCAATAACAACACTGAATACTTCATTAATAAAATAAAAAGAATTGGAATAAAGGTAAACAGCATCAATGCGTTTCCATTTCTGAAATTCCATGTAAGGAGCATTGCAACCTTAAAACCAAGAAGTAAAAAGACAAAGAACAGATAAACTTCACCATTTACTGTCTTTAATTTCATTTTCAGATAGGTCTGTTTTATCTCATGCTCAATAAACTGTAGAAACCCATAGTGTATACCTATGAAGAATGAAGTGTCACACTAATGATTCATTTCAGCTTTCAATTTTTTTTTTTTTTTGCTCTAGATGCAGAAGTACATTGCAGAACTCAGAAAATCTTTTTTTTTTTAGAGATCAGAAGCACACCAAACCGGTGAAAAAGTCTGAATGTGATCAAAGAACACATTTTTTTTTAGAAATTATTTCAGCTGATTAGATTCTTTATTAGAACAACATATAAATCTGGAAAATAAATAGTTGTTTCAAATTTTATTTGTCTCTCTAGAACACTACCAAAGATTCTAATTAGAGACACTGACAGATGTTCTCAGCAGTCTGAGAGTACTTTGTGCATAGTCAGTTTCACAATTTAAACACATGTTCAGTTTCCCCATTTCTGTGGTTCTTATGCAGAAATAAAATAATAATAATAAAAACACTTTAAGGCCTAGACATTCACGAACAAAGCTTTTTTTAAAAAAAAAAAAAAAACTGCCACCCTTGCTTGAGCAAAGAAGCTCAAAAATGATTGTATCTGAAATTCCTGTCTGGTGTTGAATTTGCAAGTGGTGCTACTTCATAAGCTCTGAAAAATAAACACTGTGAATATTAATATGCTTCTAAGATCACTAGCAACACCACCAATCTACAAAACTTTCTCAAGTTCAAAGCGATAAAAATTTGATGGCCGCTGCCATCAAATAGAGAGGCAGACATAACAGACGTATTCCAGTTTGCTGTTATATTTAATAAAAAGGCTAAATATTTTAACTGATAAGATCTGTTTGTTAAAATTTCTGCATATAGGAATAGCTGTCAGAATAGGGAAGAAACTGTTCTGAAAAATATTCCAGTGACATTTATACTATAACCTGGTCTGGTATTCTGTTCCAAACTTTAAATATTTTTGTAGTTGAAAGTTTTTCCTAGGTGTGTTTCCCTTACTGCAAGTTAAGCAACTATCCTCCGTCCTTCATTGAGTCTAGAAAACAATCTTAGTCTCATTTTGCCTCTCAGTATTCTTATCTAGAGAAAACAAAGCCATTTTCAGTCTTTTCTCAAAATTTTAAAAGACAATATCCCCTTATTGCACACTTCCCTAGCATTCCAGGCTACTCAGTTTATCCACAGCCTTCTTGAAATGCAACGGCCAAAACCAGCCACCAGTTTTAAGTTGTGGAAGACTTCTTGGATCTTATATACAGCTCCCGTGTTATAAACTCCAGAATGACATTACTGTTGCAAAGGGCGTTACCATACCGTTGACATTCAACGGCTCACTACAGCCTCTAGATCTTTTCTGCAGTAGCACTACCCAGCTACTTAATCTTCATTTAACCTTTACACTTTGGATTGCTCTTTACTACAGTAATTATTTTATACCCGTCTTTACTGAATTGTAGCTTACAGATTTTCAACAAAGTCTCCCATTTACCATGTGGATTCTCATATTTTATCCTGCTTCCAAGCACTTTTCAGTTTACTCCCCCAAATGATTAACATTTACAAGTGTCCTTCCCCACTACTATGAATATCATTAATGAGTTGTCATAACCATACATCACATGCCTTTAATTTAAATATTAATTAGCAGTAGACTTGGAAGAGACCTAGGACACCATTAGGTCATCTTCACAAATTAACAATGTATCAGTATGCTTTTTCCAATCACCTAATTTATGACGTATTTCTCTGCTTTATGGGAAAACGGTACAGTGTCAAGTACTTTCTAAAATGCCTGTGAAACTCCACCAATGATTTAATACACACGCACCCACCGATCAGCATTTGCTTTCCGTTCATTTGAATATACTGGAATTCAGTAGCTGACTTTACTTCAGTAGTTTCTCATTTAGGTCCCATATATTCTTACATGTAGTTGTAAAATGCAATATCTTAAGCTTTAGAACAAAGTAGCTTTGCAGAACGGCAAACTAAAAAAAATAAATCTTTCACCAACAGCTCATTCTTGGAAGCAACATCCAAAAGCTAGGAAAACAGCGTCTGACTGAAAACTCAACATTCCTATTCTAAGACTAAAGTATAACTCGTAATACAAAGGCAGTAATACATAGAAATCTTCACTGAACTCAAATGTGGGTTTCGAAGCACTTCACTACTGAGACATATCGTAAGATTTAATAGAAAATAGAGAAAATAAAACTAGAACAAGTTGCACAGTAAATAGATTTGTTAAATGTCTTTTATTTTATATATATACACAGAACAGGATAGATGATTTTCAATTGATATCTAATTAAGCAGGAAAAGTCTTACAAAAATACCCTATGTTCAAGATTAATTATTCTAACAAGCTGATTTGAATTTGAAACTGGCAAAGGCAAGTCAAGTTGAAAAGGCAGCCCAAAAGTGAATTAACACTCACAACAACTCTATATAAGAAAGAATATTATTTGACTTTTCAGTATCTCTTAGGAAACTTGAAACATATTGAAATTCCTCATGTTCACAACTGTACTCAAAACACCAATATTACCTCATTTCTTTTAAAAACACCTTGGAAGGAGAAAAGTAGGGCCCTCCAGGGAAAGCATGCAAGTTGCCATCAAGTTTACAGCTTACAGCATAGCAAATTCTGGTAACACCACAGAAAGCGAAGAGCTTCTATAATGCTATTTATAATTTTTTAGAAATAAGCTATTACTTTTCTCCTTGAATAGGTTAATATTAAACACAGCTTTAAATACAGTCACTTCCTCCACCCTTCAGATCGGGACTGAATTAAAAAGAACACAGAAAGAATCTCTAATAAAAGCAATCTTTTGGTTTAACTACCCTTTACATTTGGAATGCCAACCACGGAGTTTCTTTAGGATTTTCTTAAAAAGAAATCTGTTATTCCATACACACTTTGTCTTCCGTATTGGCTGATGCATAGTGGTTACCTTAATAACCCCATGCAAGAAGAACAATTGCATTTTCCAGATAACCTAAAATAATACCATAAGTTATGCTAAATGCACTTAATATTTTTATATTTTCTACGTGAGAAAAAAGATTCAATTTAGTTGTCTAAATTGGAACAAGCTACTAAACCAGCTAAGCTACTATTTTAGAATGGTTTAAAATCTACCAAGCTAAAGCTAATGGAAGAATTCAGTAAAGCACCAAAAAATCCTCGAAATTAACAGAAAAATAGACTGTATTAAATACACACACTTACCAATTCCACATCAGAAGGTACGTTCAGCCCTGAAGGTGCAACAAAAGGTTCCTCATTTTCTTCTACGTTTTCTGTCTGAGCTGTTTCTACAAGAAACGACAGAGTAAAATACTATATGATGAAACATGGCGAAGTACAAATATTCACAAAAAATTATTGAAACAAAGTGTTATCTAAAAAGACGTGCAATCCAGAAATATCTCAAATCAAACTATAAACAGCATTAGCACTAAACTAAATATGACTAAGATTGCGTAAATCATGTCTTAATGGAGATATTAAGAAGTCTAAAACCCTATAACCCATAATCCTGAATTCAGTACTGAAAATAAACAGGTGTCAAATCAAATTGCAAATATCCTTTCTGATATGACTACAACTACTTTTTTTTTTTTTTTTTTTTTAAATAAAGGAAGCCTATCCAAAATTAAGGGGAACCATTCTCAATGCAGTGGGTGAATCCTTTCCCAATAAAGATGAAAGTGCTGTAGACACCAAGTTTTTCTAAAGCTATTAAGACGCAGGTAGTTGAATCTAGTTGCCTGTTAATCTACCATTTCATCCTATGCAAACAAACCAAGTACTTCCATCATCTTCCTAACCCTAATGAAAGTTGTACAGTAATACAATATGGAGGCTAAAATTCAATTCTAAGACCTACAGAGATAAACCAGTAGCTGACTTAATTGATTAAAATAAAACATTGTTATTCACCTGTAAGGTCAGCCTTAGATTTGTATGGTTACTTTTATACCTAGTTTAAAACACCCAAATATTTAACAAACAGATTTATCATGTTAACTGCTTATCTAAAGCAGCTATTCTACTATAAAGGGCAATTTGTACTACATTCTGTTACATGGTACACCAGAAACATTCCTCCAAAAATATTTTGCTTTATAAACTCTTGTAATCATTCATGTGGAAGGTTTCTATTTTCAAAACTTTGAGTATCATCAATTCTACTAGCTTTGGTTTAAATATATTGATTGAACTCCAGTCTCCTCCTAACAAGTTAGAGCATACACACACTAGTAAAACTCAAAGGATGAAAATGTAACTTGCACAATAAAGTTTATGTCTGTATTTAAGTAATTCAGCATCATCCTGACATTACATTTTTATTAGCACACAGCTTCAAAAACTCATGAAAAGTTACAGGCAAACTTGCAGGACAGAGTTGAACAGAGCAAATAAAGCAATGAAATTTCAGTAATAATATATATATTGTCTTGGATTTTAACATATGTTTTCTGTTCTTTAGGAATTTAAAATCCATGACTAGATGCATCTACAGAAGATAAATTATCAGTTACCTCATACATTAAACGGCATCTATGGATACAGACAGCAGAACAACAGCTTATCACGTATTCGGTGTCATAGTAAGTATTTGCATAGAAGCTCCTATCCATATAAGTAAAAGTTAAGTCTTTGTTCCTTAATTTTTCCCCCCCTTTTTTTTGGGGGGGGGGGAGGGTGTGGGGAGATTTAGATTAGCTCCACAAAAGCACACAGAAATTTTGACATCAAGGAAAGGAGAAAGAATAAGCGGCCAGAGAAGAACAGGACTGTTTTTGGCACAAATTCCAGCTAACTCTTAAAGGGTTCACAGAACTACAGTCTAGATTTCATATTACTGTTACCTGCATCTTCCAATATTGAATTTTGCTCTACTATGATTTACAAAAAATGAATATAAAGAATTTACAGGCCTGTGTTATTGGAAATTCTGATCATACGGCACTCACACAGCAAAACATAATACAAATGTTGCCGCTATCTCACTATTTCACCTGAGTACTTTTCCTCCCAACTTACTAGAAAATCCTCTTTTGTTATCCATTTACAAACATATTCTAAAAGAAACAAGTTCAACAAGAAAGTGCACAACTAATACAATGCTCTAATGACCTGCTATAAGGCCCTCTGCTTCCCATGAGCAGCACTGAAAATTCTCAGATTGCACTGCAAGATTTTGTAATAGTTTAGCATGACACTTCCTTGCTGCATCAAATGTAACTTAACTTGCTGTAAGGAAAACCAGGTAGTTATATCTCTCTTTGCCAATGATTAACTTGTCAAGATTTTAACATTCATATAAAACCACATTTCCAAAAACATGTCTCCAATAAGACCACAATTATTCTAGATATCTCATCAGCATAGCAAAGAAAAATAACGTGGAGCAACCTAGACAAACAATCTGAACTCACAACAGCACTCTCACCAATTGGAATTTCTGTTTATTCCCCATACAAATGATCAGAGGTAGATTCTCTAATATTAAGGCATGTTTTCACACAAAGTTTTGCGAACAGCTCCTACCAAACAGGCATGCTATAAGGTTCAATAAATTCCTGTCCGGTGACCAAAAAGGAGGGGGCACTCACTTTTCTAATCTCTACGCAGGAGAGAGAGAGATGCGGGAGCTGAACCACAAACACGCTCTCTATTATCCCCAATTTTCCACTAGGCTTATCCCTAGCTATTAACTCATCTACATACATGCAAAACATCCATTTGATAAGCAATATTTGAAGACTACAGGCAAAGAAAACTTCAAAACTGGTTGGTTATGAGATTTACCAGATAAATGGGAATAAAATAAATGAAAGATAGCCCAGAAAAAACTGTGCAATTCAGTATGAATACTGAAGAGTTCAGGGGAAACCTTTGGCAGAACGCAAGCGGCAGCGGCACTGCCCTGACACAACCCCATACCAAACTGCAAAAACAATCAAATAATCTTTAAAATCTAAAATGATCCTGCATTTTCTTTTAATATCGCATAACTTGGTAAAATAAACCCATCTCATACCACAGTAACCCACCAACATGTAGTTAGACTACCCAATAGCTTATTAAATGGTCCCAAGTTTACTAAGGCGTAGTTCAATAACACTTGAAAAGCTTCCTTAAAACTTCATTTTAAAAATGCAAAGTTACTGTAATTAAAGATACGAAACTGAGAACCAGAACTCTGCATTTTATAAGATCCTGGAGAGGGACATACTTTGTTAAAGAGAGATTCATTTTAACAATTAAGATGACAAAAAAAAAAATCTAAGCTTAAACAAAAAATAAGAACAAAAAAACCACTGTATCCTGGTTAATTATTATTCTGTTGTTCTATATTTGTAGTGACCTTTTATTTCTTGACCAAAAAATACAGTGGTAATAGAGAGCCATGTGATTAATTACCAGATTTTGTGAATAGGAACCCACAAACCAGCTGAACTAAATTTCCTGATTATTGTAATAGTGATTGTGTTTTATCAGAAAAACAAGTGAACACATCAAGAATAAAGTTTGCATGAACTCATTAAAACACTTCCTGAAAGATTTTGCTGAAATGCTTTGAGATTTTTTTAATGTGCATTTTAATGAAATACAGATTATCAACTTTCAACTATAAGTTAACATGGGGGAGAGAGGTGAAAGTTCTTCATCTAAACTAACCCTTGCTGTGTTTACCTCTTACCTCTTTGTTTTGCAGGCTGATGCTCCTCCTCCTCAGTGGGTTCTGAAGGGTCATAATAATCACTGCCATAACGGAATCCCACTGCATTATAGGTACCATCCTCTGCCAAAGCTTCACTCAGTCTCTTATATTCCTCCTCTTGAACAAAAATGCAATTACCAATTAACACAACATAATTAAAAGCTAATTTCTCAAAAAATAAAAAAAAATACAATGTTTCTCACTTAAGTTTTTAGATAAGAATTTGTCACCTGTTCATTTTAACTTTAATTAAAAATTGATCAGAAAAAGGCAGCATTTATATTTGCTGACCATTTCTTCCTGAAGAGATAGAGGCTGGGGGTTAAAACATTCTAGTGAAATTATGGACACAAGATCACTGACTTTCAGTTAAAAATAAAATAAAACAAAAAAAAACTGAAAAAGAAGAATAATGTGCTTATTTTGGGTTTTTTTTTTTGGTCTGAAATCCCAGTCTGCCCTCAATCTGGGCAATTTCTGTGTGGATCTATATTTAAACTATCCTGAGGTCCTCTCACATACGCAAAGACTCCCGTTTTTCGAATCCACTGGGTACTGTCAAGATAACATCAGAAAAAGTGAGTATAACGTAAGTAGGAGTAAATTTAATTTCTTAATTATTTATTTAAACATGCGCTAACTCAGGAAGTTTCCTTGAGCAATACCTTGCCTCGCCTCCTCCTCAAGCAAGTCCGTATGCAAGGCTAAATACCTCTCTTCATCACAGAGGGCATCTATTCTAGCTTCCTCTTCAGACAATTGATAATCTCTGTTCCACGTGGAATATTCAGCATCATATTCAGAAAGGTCATGTAGGTGACCACGCCCATCATACCTGCAAGATGAAAAAGCTGGTCAATGCAAAAAACTTAGGGCTTGGGTTTATGTGACTACTTAAATACTTACCCATTAAAAATGAAAAAAAAAAAAACTTATATGTTAAAACATTTTTCCTTTTAGGAGTTACGTTTAATTTTGCTAATCATTTGTCACCAACTATTGAAAAAATTTGTTTAATTGTCTAAATTCCTCTCAAAGAAAATAATAAATTACTACAATTAAAGGCAAAGGTATCCTTTAATAGTTTTAAGTGGGATCCATTTCCTTAACAGCTCTTACCGTACGTGGTTCAACCAACCAATCAATGTCACTTGCAAAATATGTTTTTCTGGAAAGTCAAATAGCTTACATTCACACAAACCCGAATACATAAATACCTATCCGTAAGAACCAAACGGTCGAAATTTCCTCGCTTCTTTCTGCTAGTCCCGAACTCTCAGGAGATATCTTCACCATAGAAACTTGCGTCCATTGGAGGTAAAATCATGGCTAGGCTCGGCCCCTAGCCATTTGGCTGAGGAAATAAGTTCTGGGTTATGTGATAGAGAGACACACATACATAGGAACAGTAACATATACATGCAATTTAAGGAGGTTCACCGTAAAAACGGCAAAGATCAATGACGTACAGTTCCTTTCTACTAAGCAGAAATAATTTTATTTGCAGAAAAAGCATTGCATTGGGATAACATTTATGTATCAGTAAAAGAAACTGATTGAAAAGTAAAGTGACAGTAAGCTCGACTCCGCTGAGGTGTCTTCCCACACACAACTCTTGACTTGTGCCAACTTGCTAGACCAAAAACAAAGAAAGTAAATACTCTAATAGCAAAAAGTTAATGAAACACGTAGGTCTGGTTAATCAAGCTCTGTCCACAGGCAAACTTCAACCCATGTCTTCTCATAGCAATGTGTTTTTCTCAACAGGTGAAAATGAAGACTTCCTGCTGCTGGAGATAAAAAAAATCTAAGCTTCCAAAGGAGTTCATAAGATTAGTGAATACAAACTTCCTTTACTTACAAGTGTAGGTTATTTGGACTTTTTGGTATTATATGCATATACATGTACATACTTAGTTTTTGCTCCCAACAATTTCCGTAGCTACTCTAAATTTAGGTTACTGTTCCATAGAATCATAAAAATGCCTCTACCTGCTAATGAAATCTGTCATGGAAGTGAGCTGCCATTAGAAGACATTGTAACACTTTATTCTCATATAAAAAGTAACTAGCGCTTATGGTTGTTTTTCCTTCTCTTTTTGTATTTGTTTCAATGTGGCAATTAACTTCAATCATAAAAATCATTAAGGGGGGAAAATCCAATATTGTGCAAGAACATTTTCTCCAGTCTTCTGGAAGGCAATAAAAAGACTAACCCTTGTTCCTTTTTTCCAAGCTAAATACACTTGTTACACTGAAACATGGAAAATCATGTTTTGCACCAAAACACTGATGAAATTGAGGGAACAAATGTCTGTAGTATGTCATGTGATCCTTTTCAAATCAAAATCCTTACATCTTTCCCACTGAGGTTTTCAGGAAGAGCCACAACTCCTCTTAAACTGTACTTTCAGTGCTCCTCTCAAATATACCCAATCCAATTTCTCATCTCTCTCCACAAAAATATTTATTCTGAATAAATTTATTCCTAAATCCCATCCTGCACTGCTGATGCCATTGAAGAGACCAAAAAAAAAAAAAAATTCTATTACTCTCTGACTGTAATCCAGCACCTTCTACAAAACAACAACAAAAAAAGCCACACCTGAAACAAAACTCGAAGAGCAAACAACCCCAAAATACAGAGCCATTCTGCCTACTGCAGTAACTCACAGCACAAGGAGAAAGCTATCTGGCCAAGAACTGCTCTGGAGGAATCCCATCACTAGCTTGCAGCCAGCTTACGTAGGAGAAATAAGTTCAGTCCGATTTCTCCTCAGAGCGATAACTACTTTTCTGATCCGCACACTGCACTCTGTTTGCTTAGAGAACACAAACATTAGCTATCTAATAAGTATTCCTATGCAGTAAGATTCCCTCAGTTTCCAAAAGGAGAAAAGATGATGTTTGGGGTTTAAGAAACCTCATCCCTGCTCCCCATCCCACCCTGAAAAACCCTCCCCTGCCAAACAAAGCTGGAAGCCTCAATACACTCTGATTATCAGAAGCAGGGGGGAACTCCAGAGTTCCCCTTGCCAAGGGGAAAAACTCAGCAATGCTACAAAAGAAGCACCTGAAACACTCTACCAGGAGGAGCAGCCCTCACACTCTGCCAGTGAAGAAAATCCCCACACACCTGCCAGAGTGAGCCCTCCTTCGCTCACACATCCCCCCTCACTTGCCCACAGCATAAGGGGAGGAACAGAAAGAGGCTATAACAGGAGATCTCGCAGCAGAGGCTGGGGGTTGGGTTGCACCGACCTATCGATCATGATCTTGGGGTCTCCCATCCAAGGAATAAGGTGTCGCCCCTGCTCCTGGTACTGAGCCTTCTCATCATCTCGAAACAGCTTGCAGGCATAGCCGAACACCAGCAGCTCCACACGGCTATTCCCACCTCCACCTCCTCCTCCTCCTCCACCTCCTCCGGGGGGCCCAGGGACCGCTCCCCCGCCTGACAACAACATTAGGGGCGGCGGGCCTGCTTCTTCTGCAGTCCGTCGAGAACCCCCGACCCCTCCGTACATCACCAGAGGATGCAACGAGGAGAAGGAAACTCGCAGTAACAACGACTGTCCAAGAAGCGAGTCCCCCTAAAGGCTGGGCCCGCGCTAAACTTCCCAGCTCCAGAGCACCACAGTCGCCATCACCCGAAACAAAATGGCGAACTTTCCGCTTCCGCTAAGAGAGTAAATGGCACCCTGGTTTCCGGCGATTAGCAGATTCGCCCAACTCTTCGGGAAAACAAATGCAAAATAAAATGAAAACGTAGCGAAAAGCAGCTCTGTGCTGTTTCTAGCTGCTGAGGGAGAAGAGTAGGTCAGCCTGTATAAGCAATCGTCTGGCAGACGGGCGGAGGAGTAGGTCGCCTCGGTTAGCGATGAAAGTGCGCCAGGGCGCCAGGTGGCGGCCGAAGCGGTCCCTGTGGGAGCCCTGAGCGGGCGGGCTTGAATGCCTTCCTGGTAGACCTTAGCTAAAGCGCTTGGAAGGCGCCTGAGGGTGATGGGGCCGGCTCGCTTAACGTGAGGTTTAGGCTTAAAAAGGCGAGTGACGCAGTTGGCACCGTGAGCCAGTATGCCCCCTGCGTGAGGGCACCCCTGGAGGCAGTGGGGAAGGAGGAGCTGCTGGAGCTAACCTGAAGCGAAGAGACTGACAAATGCAGGGCTAGGCGGAATAAAGGTGGTAGAGTTGGTAGCTCTCGAGAGGAGCAGAGTTGTTGTGGGACTTGCTGAGGAAAAATAAAGTAGGAAGCTGGGGTGATGCCCACTTCAGGCTGTGTGTGGGACGGACGTTCAAGGGGAGAATGGGTCTGGGACCCAAAGTGAGAAGGGAAAAGAGTGAGGAATAGGGGAAGACTTTTCCAAAAAGTGAATAGGTTAGATGACTTTACTAAAACTGTGTAATCTAGATTGAGCCAATAGAGCCAATAGGGACAAGAAGCCATCTAAAATGTGTCCCAATGGAGAAGAGTCTTACAAGAGATGTCTGAAAAACGAACGTTCCAAAGTCAACAAATACATACCCAAGAAACAAACCATATGATGAATATGTAGAAGTTAACAGTAATTTGCTTGCTTCAATGAAGCCTTCAGTGAAGAAATCTGCTAGAGGTAGATGCTTCTGACTGATGCATATTCCTAATTTTTAAAAATATTGACTGAGCTGTTTTAAAGAAGAGGGAAGTTCTAAGTACAATGCTAACATTTGAAAAACATGAATTGTGTACAGGAATATCAAGGAGTGATTAAGAACAGGCTTGAGGATTATGGAACAACTTGATACCACCTAGGAAAAATTCAGAGTAAAGAAAGGAGCAGGAAAAAACAGTAGGAAGTACTCCAAGAAAAAATTAACAGTTCCTGATGGGAAGTATAAGAAAGCAATTGAACATTGATATGTGGCAAGGATTTAGTGACTTCCGTAAGGCTAGTGTTAATGAAAATGATTCAGCCAAAAGATAGAGTGACAACCCATGAAATAAGTATGGCAGAAAAATTGCTCCATGCAGCTGAAGTGGCACTGTAATAAGATAACTCCAGGACAATTTGCTAGGATATCAGCGTTTGAGACAAGGATACGAACTGTGCATGGGTCAGATAAAGGGTAAAACATGGAAATTTTAGTTACAAAGAACGCAATTACAGCAAGATGGAGAGAGTATTTTAATGAGTTCTTTAATGGTGAAATGGATAAAGGCAAACAAACAGCAATTTTCCAGCCAGCTGAGGTGTTTATAGAAGAACCAAGAGGTGATCAGAACACCTGGGAACAATAAAGCACCAGGTGTTGATAATGTTCTTACTGAATTATTAGGAACAGGAGGGAATAAGCTAACTACAAGATTTTAAAAACTAATTTGTGTTACTGTGAATTGTGTTACTGTGAATTGAAAATAACCTAAAGAAATGGAAGAGGGAAACCATGTGTCCATTTCTGAAAATGAAACTTGATGCCTGTAGTAGCATCTTATTACCTAACTGCAGCATGTGATATTGTAGCCTATATGCTAATATATAGTTAGCCTGTAATCAGGAAAGGGATTAAGAGAGGTTTCTGGAAGAACTGCTGCACGTCACTTTCAAATTATTGACTACCTTGGGAAAATAAATAAGGACATGACCAGACTACATACAATGAGCTTTAGTGTATTTAAGAAAGCACATGGTAGTGCGTTATGAATTTGCATAGTAATCAAAAAGCACTCCTCTTATCTCTTCTTTTGGGTAGTTTGCTCCCCACTCAGTATTTATAAGAAAATGAAGTTCATCTCATTTTTATTCTTTCTTCTAGTGTATGCCATCATTTTTTTCTTCTAGTGTATCCATTTTTCCTGGAAGGAAAATGGGATAATCAATGTGTGCTTTTTTTTTTCCCCCCCCCTAAACCACACTTAAAGACATATCTAACTTTACTAGTAAGAAAAAATACTCTGAAATGACTACAGACTTCTGCTTTAGACCTTTATATGGTAAACTGCCCATGTTGTTTCAGATCCTTAATTAGCCCCAGCTGGCCTGGCTGGGATGAAGAGTAGTTAGCTATAAATTGAAAAGATTACGAAATGGGTGTCTGTCACTCTCCCTTTTTCAATTTTCTTTTTGTTGTAAGTATGAGAGCAACTAAGAATAAAAGTCTTTCTTTCCTATGCTGATACTAGTTTTTTTTCTCTTTCTTAATAGAGCTATAGTTTTGTGCTTTACCTTTAGCTAGAAGTGGAGAAAAACACTTTTTTTTTTTTTCCCCTCTGTTCTTAAGTAGGTTTGGAAGAAGAGCATGTTGTGCTGATTCTAAAGAAAGAAAAATACCATTTGCATCGTGTTTTGTCCTTCAGCAATAGAAAGGAATTTTCAGCATACCAGAACAAATCAAATTTTATTCCATGTATACAAGAGGAAAGAAATGACAAGTTATGGAGTTGGAGACCCTACAGAAAACAAAATAGAGGTAAGCAGCTCTGTACAGAAACTTGCAATTTTTCAGTAAGTAAGAAACTGTAATTTCTGGAGTGGGAATTGGTATAGATTCCAAGAATGGTCTTAGATTCTCCTGTATTGGTTATGAGAGGATGAAACTATATGAAAGACCTACTGTAAAAGATTTCATTGATTCACACATGCATGGTGCTTTCTGTAGTAAAAATAGAAATCTTATATATCACTATACTAATCTTGACATTGGCATCCTTGTAGAGTAGATCTGTTATTTTTGTAGAAAATGCTGTGCTTAGAAGGTCTTAGCTCCAGCACGACTAAGGAAAGCGAACATAACGTTTTTTCTTCTTGGTCACCGTTTGTTCATTACAAGACGTGGCATGAGCCTGCACTGACTTCCTTATTCTACCTCAGTGATGTTTTGTAAGAGTAGAGCTGCAGTGTCTATTTTAGAGAAGGATGAACAGAACCTGTGAGGTCTACTTGAATACTAAAATTGTACATAATTACTCTCTTAAAGAAGATGGCTCTCTAAATTCTCATGACTTTGAGTAGACTTTATCGTTATTTCAGCCATTGCAGTAGGATCCACATATAAAACATCTGGTAATTCCAATTCAATTGGACTTGCATTTTAAATACAGAATTGCTGCAACATAGTAGCTAGGTAAACAATTATGTGTATGTTAATGACCACAGTATGTAACCGGCTGCATTAATAAGTGGATACTGAGTGGTTGTTGAGGATTTCCAGCTTTTTTATTTTATTACCAGCTTGCTGCAATTCATAGCTTAGTTACTCACTTCATTTCCAGAGAGTTACTTACCTCTAATATCAATTGTATAAATATTCTATTTACCTTTCCAAAAAAAAAAAAAAAAAGAGGGGGAGGAATCCCCTCTTTTTAACATGGTGATTTAGTTTATTTACACAGATACACCACGTATCCTTTGGTAGATTTTGTGTGTGTGTGTGTGTGTGTATTTCATAGCCTGCCAATTTCTATGACTAACTTATTTGGCTACTTTATTTTGGGTAGAGGCCTCCTTTCATGAGGTTGTTTACAAGAAACAAAGATGTGCTTAAATATACACAGAAAACAGTTTACACTAAAGAGGGAGGGGAAAAAAGTATCCGGAAGAAGACTGTATTTTCCAAGACGTTTCCCTTGAGAATGTCCAACAGATTCCGTCAGATAGACCTTCTTGAAATAAGATAGAACTACATAGTTCAGCTATAAAGTGTCTTAATTTGGTTGAAGAAGTTTCAATTCCTGTCACGTTAATGGAGTAGAGCTTACTGTGCTGATGACAAAATGCTATAAATGTAGTTAAGGTTGTCTCTTATTTCCTTCCCTTTCCTTTCTCTTTTCTGTATTCAAAAATTTCTTCACTGTTATATAATATAAGTTATTTAATTAATGTGCTTGAGAAGGGTAAATTAAAGCTTTATGAGTAGTACTAACGGTCAATTTTGGAT